GCCTTCGTCCAAGACAGGCCCCCATTCCCCCGTAGACTCCTAGCACACAGGACCCACCGGTTACTCCTCCGGAACATTAAAGTAGTATACTTTTAAAACGGGGTATAAAATACTCCGCTGGCCAGGCCACGTAAATCGCACTTGTCGCTACTCCGCTACTCCGCAAGATGCCTTAAGACAAGAAAGGCCCAGTAGGTCAAAACTTTCGTCCTCCCGATGCCTCACCGGGACCTTTCTGTTCAGCAAACCTCCCCAAACTTGTTGCTGTGTGACCTAACGACCTCCTGCAGGGTCCCCTAGACAGACATCCCCGTCTAAGAAACGATTCAGAAGGCATCGCCGGGCCGAAAGTTTCGACTCACTTGTGCATCATCTTAACAAGCTCTTGCGGAGTAGCGGAGTACCTCAAAGTGCCGTTCACCCTACGCAGGCCAGCGGAGTAATTACTACGCCGTTTTAAAAATATAATACTTTTTAATTCCGGCGGAGGCCCCGAGGCTCACTTGTGTTAGGAGTCTATGGGGAAGAGGGTGGAGGCCCATGTGTTGTAAAGCATGTTGAAGCTAGTGGGTCGAACTATCGGCCCGGCGCAGCCTCCATTTTCGAGGCAAGAGTCCCCTCCTTTGCAGTCTTGGTGAAAGCAAAGCCGAACACTTTCACCCTGGGTTTGCTGGGGCTGGACTCTGGCACCCAAAATTGACGCTGCGGTAGGACGAAAGTTTGACCTATTCCTTCCTTCGTCCAAGACAGGCCCCCATTCCCCCGTAGACTCCTAGCACACAGGACCCACCGGTTACTCCTCCGGAACATTAAAGTAGTATAATTTTAAAACGGGGTATAAAATACTCCGCTGGCCAGGCCAATTTTAAAACGGGGTATAAAATACTCCGCTGGCCAGGCCACGTAAATCGCACTTGTCGCTACTCCGCTACTCCGCAAGATGCCTTAAGACACGAAAGGCCCAGTAGGTCAAAACTTTCGTCCTCCCGATGCCTCACCGGGACCTTTCTGTTCAGCAAACCTCGCCAAACTTGTTGCTGTGTGACCTAACGACCTCCTGCAGGGTCCCCTAGACAGACATCCCCGTCTAAGAAACGATTCAGAAGGCATCGACGGGCCGAAAGTTTCGACCCACTTGTGCATCATCTTAACAAGCTCTTGCGGAGTAGCGGAGTACCTCAAAGTGCCGTTCACCCTACGCAGGCCCAAGCGGAGTAATTACTCCCGCCTTTTAAAAAAAAAAAACAAAAAAAAAAAAAAAAAAAAAACAAAAAAAAACAAAAAACGAAAAAAAAAAAAAAAAAAAAAAAAAAAAAAAAAACAAAAAACAAAAAAAAAGGGAAAAAAAGAAAAAAAGGAAAAAAAAAAAAAAAAAAAAAAAAAAAAAAAAAAAAAAAAAAAAAAAAAAAAAAAAAAAAAAAAAAAAATATAATACTTTTTAATTCCGGCGGAGGCCCCAAGGCTCACTTGTGTTAGGAGTCTATGGGGAGGAGGGTGGAGGCCCATGTGTTGTAAAGCATGTTGAAGCTAGTGGGTCGAACTATCGGCCCGGCGCAGTAAGTACCCCAAATGGAGTTACCCCAATTTATAACCCTACTTCTTGTACCGTAACTTATACCCCACTTGCTAAGTCCCTTGCCCCTCCAAGTAAGCCCTACACCCCCCAAAACCCTAAACCCTAATCTAAACCCTAAACCCCAAAAACCCTAAACCCTAACAACACCAAAATCCCTAAACCCTAAAAACCCTAAAATCCCTAAACACACTAAAAACCCTAAAATCCCTAAAAAAACCTAAACTCTAAAAGCCCTACACCCTAAACGCCCTAAACCCTAAAACAGCCACAGTCTCGGGTCGCTCCACAGAGATCTGCTCCTCGGCTGCATTGGACTGCAGGGTTCCGTCTTTGGGTTCCTTTGTGTTCCCGTAGGGCTTCCTTTACGGGCTCCTTTAAAGGGCTTTCGGGTTTCGGGTTTAGGGTGCTTCCTTTAAGGGTTCCTTTAAAGGCTCCTTTACAGGGTTGAGGCTTTAGATGGAGGTATGAAAGGGTTTAAGGTTTAGGCCTTCATAGCTAGACTCGGGTGTGTTTCTAGACTCACTTTAAGGCCTTCCTGTAGAATTTAGAAAGTCCATAGAGGATTCTGCAAAGCTAAACATACATAGATGCATACATACACGCAAATACATATACACATACATACATACGTACATAGGTACATATTTACTTACTTACCTACTTACTTCTTGCTTCCTTACTCATTGATCCACGAGAGCCTGCCTGGCTTACACACCTGCAAGCACCGTACCAGTTGCCAGAATCCGCCCCAGTCTTGCACACAACGGCAACGACACCTAAACCCTACCTCAACCCCAAATAGCCTACCTTTGTTGAAGGACTTCCATAGCGAAGTTATAATCGGGAGCAAGGGTTTGATAGGTTCTACTTGGAGGGGCAGGGGACTTAGTAAGTAGGTTATTAGAAGAGTTATAAGTACCCTAAATGGAGTCACCCCAATTGTAACCCTACGTTTAACTTAAGAGGCGCGCGCACACTCTTGGAATGTACTCTCCAACAGCTGCATGTCGAGGTGCCCAGTCGATCACCTGAGGCGTTAGGAAGCTCCACCGCAAAGGCGATTAAGCTCTAAGGGTTTATGGTTTGGGGTTAAGGCTTGCCGCAAAACCCAGGGGTTCTGTCAGCTATACTTACGGCTGTAGTGCTCAAGTTACTGAAGTGCTGCATGTACCCAGATGCCATCTATCTTTGCTGTTTGAGGAAACCCGGGTTTGGGGTTTAGGGGTTTAGGGCGAGAACCTCTTAAGCACGTCTGGAGAGGGGGGGGTGAGACTTACCCAAAGGGCCCTGAGGACCTGTGTGAAGACTGACTATGCGAACCATGCGGACACTTCCAAATATCGAAATCCTACCTGGCACTTTGTGGGTATTTAGCCACCTTAAAACCTAAACTCTACAGTTACAGGCCGCTAGCTTCAAGTATTTTCAAGTCTGGAGCATGTTTTGGAAACGTTTGTGCTACTTTGAACCGTCCTACTCCCTGAACCCAAAAACTCAGACCGTCAACCTGAAATCTTAAGTTCCTTAAACAAACCCAAACCACGGCTAAACCAAAACTCTGATTCCTACTCCCGTGTCACATCCCTAATCCCTAAGCCAGGAAACCCTAATAACGCCCAAGAAGCACATAAGCAACATATTGCTTATGCTTATGTGCTTCTTTGGCCCCTAACCTAAACCGCTAGCCTCCGCGTATGGAAGCTTCCATCCTTCTGCCATGATGACGGGGATCGATCCTTCATTCAGTCCCAGGGATTTTAGGAGGGACCCTTAATAAGGACCCCTAGGTATATACCCTTAATATAGCTATTATATACCCATTATATAGCCCATTATAGGGTAGCGGTCCCCATTTACGATCCCTCCTTTTCCCAATTGATTCAAGGCTTTATGGGTTAGGGGGCTCAGGGCTTGAGATGGAGTGCTTGGGGTTTGGGGCTTTGGGTTTGGGGGTGAGGGTTTAGGGTTACCACAGCGGCCGCTGCAAGGTTTACTAAAGGTGTTAGCATAAGTTTTACTCTAAGGGTTTGGGGTTTGGGGTTTGTACGGACTGTGGTAAGGATTTAGGGCCTACGCTGTTCAGAGTTTAGGGCAAGTCGAAATGAGAACATGCGGTGGATGATATAAATCCTGCATAATGCCCCAAAACAACGGGAATCATGGTATATTCCTTGTTACAGGGTAATGCAGGATTTATATCATCAACCGTAAGGACGATTCGCTCCCTCGACCTGCTTGCCCTCTGAACAGAATTGGGTTTCAAAACCTTCCTACAACGAAAGACCGTAAGTTCGAGCAAACCCTCGAACTTCAGTAAAGAGTAATTTAGGGTTTAGGGTTTAGGGTTTAGAGTTCAGGGTTTAGAGCTTAGAGACCCCTCAAAAACCGGGGATGCTCGTTGAAATGGTTCCGGGTTTAGGGTTTTAGGGGCCCTGAAAGACCCCACAAAAGGGGAACCCTAAACCCTAAACCCCTAAGCCGTAATATGGAGGCCTGAATAGTTACCTATACTATTTTGGGGGTTCCTTATTACATTTATAATATAATGGGCCCTTAAACCCTATTCTAATTATTAAGGCCCCTATATGCTAGAACCGCTATAGATTCAGATCCCTTATATAGTAACCCTTGTAGGCCCCTTGAAACCCCTATATTGGAATTCTGAATGTCCTCCACTTAGAACCTCCAGCAGCCGATAGCTCCACCGGCCGTGACCGTGCATCACCTAGGATCCCAACATCTTTTGTAGGGTTCGGGATTTGGGGTTTAGGGGCTAGGGTTTAGGGGTTAGGGGTTAGGGTTTAGGAGTTTGGGGGTTTAGGCTTTGTTTTGCAAGTGCAATGGCTCTTTCTCCGCCAGGAAGGTTTAGGGTTTAGGTAAAGTTTAGGGCTTTTAGGGTTTACGGGTTTGGGGTTTAGGGTTCGGGATTTTCGGTTTAGAGTGCACGTGTAGCCTGTAGCACCTCGAAAAGCATACATATGTAGGGGCTCCTTGCTGTCAAATGACTTCCTGACCTCTTCCGTTGAAAGGTACCTAGTTGCTCATACCCTAACGCTTCTTAATTTTTTGAGGTCTCCATTAATATATACAGATCCTTAACGCTTCTTAATTTTTTGAGGTCTCCATTAATATATACAGATCCTTTGATCCTAACATCACTGCTAGTATCAGGGGTAGGGTGTTGGTGCTACAGTTGATGATATAAATCCTGCATTACCCATAAAAAGGAATATACCATAATTCCCATAGTTTAGGGTCCTTAAGGTAATGCAGGATTTATGTCATCCACCGCATGGGCAACCTTCTAAAGGCGGAGCCTTCACAAGTACCCGTAGCTTGATTACGTCATGCACTACCATCATGATCTAAGTTCGCCAGTGGCCCCTGAACAAAGGGCACTCCGTTTGTGCACGACAGAGTTTTGCTAGGCTTTACAACGTGGGGTGTATAAGGGTTGGGAGTTGCGCCGCTTCAGGTTCGCAAAATCAACAAAGACAAATGACAACAATAAACAAAGTATTGGCAACCTGGTCACAAGGCTGTATGCGCTGTCGAAGAGAGCATAGTAGTGCCTTCTGACCTCACTTGTAAGATTGGGGTTTAGGATTTCAGGGTTCGCAGAGGCCATCGTAGGCCCTTGCAGCGGCTACGACCTGCACGAATTCCTAACCCGAATGACTCCTGACAAGGTCTAGGGTGCAGGGCTGAACAGCATTATGGTCACGTCTCTCCGCGCCTTGAAGTTGTGCAGCTCGCCGGAAATGGAGATAAACACATCCGATGGGGGCGTGTAGTTCTTTTGTGGCAGCGGCAGTGGCTCGCCCGAAGCAGTCTTCATGGCCTTGGGCAGCCTGCCAGCAATCCACACTGATAAACCCTATGCTGTGCCATGCTGCACGTATCCAACATAGCGTGCTAGAATGACAACTGCATGAACACTGCTGCAAGATGCGTTGCAGAAGGCCTTGGCCGCATGGCGATTTAGCTTTATTCTCGGTGCTGGCCGTTAGGGTTTAGGGCTTAAGGCTTACCTTAACCCCAAATAACCTACCTTTTTTAGGGACTCATATAAGGAAACCAGAATAAGCAACCCGCAAACTGCAGGTGCCCTAAGGTCCAGGTAAGCCTAGGCCTAGATGCGAGAGCGTGTTCGCGGGGGGCCCAGACCTTCCAAAATCCCTTAATTAAGGAATATACTTTAAATTATAGTAGTAGGATCCCTAATATGATTCAAGGAATATACCTTAAATCATATTAGGGACCCTGTTATAATTTAAGGTGTATTCCTTAATTAATGTTTTTTCTGAAGGTCTGGGGGGTTCATGCCCAACGCTTGTCGAACGATAAGCCAGGCGAGTCTGCTTCGATGGATTCTGGGCAGGGTTTAGGATTTAGGGTTTAGGGTTCTAACCGCATCTCCCCACAATGCACACGCACCAGACGGACTGCAGCGAGAACCTGATGATGGCCGGAGGAGACAAGTGGTCGTGATGAAGGCAATGACGAAGGCCATTCTTGTGATGATGCGGATGATGCTGGTAATCGCTGCGGCGGTGACGATTTTGATGGTGAGTGTTTCATTTCTGCTGCCTAAAATATTCGCATGGCTCGCCTGCTTCTCTTGGTGTCTGCGGTGCCACGCAGAGGCCTCGCACCCCCGACGTTTGTGCCTCTGTTTGTGGTGATGGTAATGCTTCCGGCTTCCGCCGCCACGACATCATGGGGTCCAGCAAGTCCAAAACCACTCTTCTCGGACTTAAGGCACGAATACCTGAACCTGAAGCCATTACAGAGCCTAAGCCCTAAACCCTTACGACGACATCATAGGCTCCAGCAATTAGGGCACTGAACCCTGAACCCTATAAGTCCTAAGCCCTTACGACGACTTGCCAGGCTGAAAGCCCTGAGGCTCTGAGGTTCAATTTCCTTCTTCGGGGAGTTCAACATCATAGGGTTTAGGGGTTTAGGATTTAGGGGTTTAGGGTTTAGGGGATTAGGGTTTAGGGTTTAGGATCATGGAGTGGGCTTTTCTGCCCAAACGGCCCCTGCAATGGACTCTAAACGCCGTATGTTTTGGTAAACCGTGAACACTGCCGTTTTTGTTGAAGGCTCCGTTCAGTGAACCCAAGCTGCAGAAGAAAGGCTCTTTGCTGCGGGTCGTTAGGTTTCAACCTTCTCTAGACCCAAGAGCAACCTAGGCATAGAAAGCATGCCCTTTGTTTGGTTTAAACAGGCTTCTAGGATACCCAGTAACCTAAGAATAAAAAGGCCTGTCTTTTTGGTATTGGGTAACTTTATAAGGAACCTAGGACTACAAAAAGGGAATAAGGGTACTACTGGGCATCCTAGGCTTACGAGGGAACCTGAGCCCCCCCTCAAAAAAGGAATAAGGGCCTACCCTAGGGTACAGTCCCTAGACCTAAGAGTAACCTAGGAATAAAAAGTGTGCCCTTTTTGGTTTAAAGGGGTTTATAAGGGAACCTGAACCCTAAAAAAGGGAATAAGGGCCTACTATGGGTCCTAAGTCCGGGGGACAGAGCCTCGTCGTACTGTTCAACATGACGGCCATGTTCAAACGGACGAAGGAGCTGCCACCTTGTCCGCAGTTCCTGGGTTCTGAAACGGCTCAAGTTCTTGGATGTAGGGCTTGGGAATGTTACGGTTCAGGTCTTTGGGGTGTATATAGTTTTTTGGGCTTTCGAGTTTAATGCTTTGTGGCGTAGGGTGTTAAGATTCTGTGTTCTAAGCTAGACAAAGGATGAACAAAGCCAAGCTCTTACTGCGCAGTCTCGCCTATCAGGAATCCAGATGAAGAAATGGCCTCCAAAGACAACACATCGAACAAGTAAAGCATTTACATGGTATGCCAGTGAACCTATCGCGAAACTATATGGGTTTAGGGTTCAGAGTTCAGGGACATCTCCCCGAAAGACAGGTATGCTACTCCTGAGCCCGCAAGACAAACACATCCAAAACGAGTAGAAAGGCATATGCAGAGTATTCCAAAACTCTGAAGACATCAAACTGTTTTGAAGCCCCCTCCAACCCCAAAACAGAAGTAGTCCGGACGCCTCAACTCTGAACCCCTTCAAAGGTCGAAAAGACTCTCGCAGACAGAAAATCTATGAAAGACCTTACCAAATGTCGATTCCCCAGAAGGACAAAACAAGCAGACAGGCAGCACATAAATATTATGTATGTCGTCTATAGCCATTCTCCATATTGCGGGCAATGGACAACCGATACATACATGTATAGGTAGCGATATAGATATAGATACGGACAGCGCCAATGATGATAGGAAGAAAAGCCCAAACCCCAAGCCCTAAACTCCCTCATCCCAAACCTTAACCCTAAATACACCAAGTGCCAAGGCAAAAACTAACTTATACACAATTCCGACAGCCGAAACTCCGAATTCGATCCCAAACCCTAGATCCTCTTTCCTAAACCCCTACGCCTACACCTACTTGGAGGGTCGGGGGACTAAGTAGGTAGTAAGTAGACTTGTAAGTACCCTAAAAAGGACCCTAATTCGGGTTATGGTGCTTATAAGTCCCTAAAACAACCAGTTACTAAGTCCCCCGACCCTCCAAGTAAGCCCTATACCCATAGGGTTTAAGGGCTTCGGTTTAGGGTTTATTTCAGACCTTGAGCCCCAACAACCCAACAACCTAAGTCCTCTAAGTTCCGAAAACTCCAAACCACTCCTAAGAACCCTATGCCCTGCACACTATACCTTCAACCCTAAACCCTATACCCTAAAGCCCAAACTTATTTGGTAAAACCCTGCTCCCTTATCAGACTTATTGGGTGGGACACTTCAATTGTGCTTTGGGGATTACCACGGGAATTGGAGTAACCAGTTCATATGGAGCCGAAGTGCCGAAAGCCTCAATCCTGAAACTCTGAACTCCAGGAACCCTGCGGCTTCCAAGGCCCTCTGAGCCCCCCAAAAAAACAGGGTGCCTTAACTAACCAGTGGTTTGGGGGTTCCCTTGGCTCTTTAGCTCCTTATTTAGAAGGGATTATCATCATCCCTGGCTCCTTAGCTCTTCCAATATCAATGGTTAGTTAAACATCAGAATCCCCAAGGCTCCATGTACCCACATAGTAGGTACTTAGGCCTTAAAGTACACATATAGGGACCCCTTTAAGGCCTAAGTAACTATATGGGTACATGGAGCCATAGGGAAGGGAGTTCAGGGCGTAGGGCTTAGGGCCTTTATGATTAGAATCTGCTTTTTGTATATCATACTGAAAAACAAGCAGCAAAACACAGGGGGCTTAAGTATTAGAATAGGGTTCTGGGATGTATTTTACTAAAAGTATAGTGGGGTGGTATAGTGCGGTGGTTCGGATCCGAGGTGCCAAAGCCCCTGGAAGGTCAGAAAGTTCATCGGAGGATCGTGTGGCCTCAGCGCTGAGGACCCAGACGTTTCTGGCTCAAAGGGGGCTTTAAAGCGTTGTAGCATGACTAGAGGTCCAATGCAGGAACCTCTTACAGGCAGTCCCTCCTTACACGAATATGAAAAGCCAGGATTACCACAATTCACAAACCATCGAAAGTTTCAGTTGGAAATGGAATGAACCGGACGTGCAAAGCTGAAAACCTACCCCAAAAACCACGCCCCACAGACACAGACACACACACACACACACACACACACACGCACAACCCTAAACTCTAAAACTCTAAACCCTACAAATTTTAATTCCAAACCCTAGACCCTAAACCCCAAACCCTAAACTTGACGACGAAGCGGCTGAATCCGCCTTTGATCCAGCTCTTCCACCTTCGGTTTATGATGGGCGTGGGTGACTCCAGGCAGCAAAAGCGCGGAGTCGTTCATGATGTTCCAATACCTTCCAGGCCATTCGGCTTGGAGGTTGAAATAAAATACGGCTCCTTTAAAAGGCTCCTTTTAAGGGCTCCTTTAAAGGGGTCTATATAAGGACTACGCCCAAAATGGTCGGTGCGCCCAGAACTCCTGTCACTCTCCTGTCGCACTCATCTGCAACATCACAGAGACGTCGCAGCAACAAGGGCTCTGCAGGGTGCCTTTTAAGGTTTGAGGGCTTCCCAACCCCCTTCCCTTTTAGGGTTTGAGGTTTCCCACACACCCACTCCTCTCCTTTTAGGGTTTCAGGGCTTGCGACCCGCCCACTCCTTTTAGGGTATGTGGGTTTGCCATCCAACCACTCCTTTTAGGGTTTGAGGGTTTCCCACCCAACCACTCCTTTTGGGGTTTGAAGGTTTCTCACTCAATCTCCCCACCTACGGTTTGAGGGTTTCCATCCAACCACTCCTTTTAGGGTTTGAGGGTTTGCCACCCACCCACTCCTTTTAGGGCCCCCAAACCAGCATCATTGTCATCATCATCATCCCCTAAACCCTAAACCCTGAACCCTAAACAACAAAATCCCCCTGAATACTTAGACTGTCGTCGTCAGCAGCAAAGACCGAGCACAAATGCAAATAGCACGCACGCAGAATCCTCGAGACTGTCGTCCTTTTAAGACGCGAATTGCTCGTCCGCGCAACTGGGGCAACGATTGCCCTCCTCTGCGCACAGCCCGAATTGTACGCGCCTGCCAGCAAAACGTAGCCCTCCCGAAGTCCGCAGACCAAGTGCGCGGGCAAACGGAACATTTTGCGCGAACTACTATGGCCTTAGTAATTAGAATAGGGTTTTAGGGTTCCTTTTACGGGATAAGGGATCTATAGGGGTACTATAACATAGCGGCCTTAGCAATTAGAGTAGGGTTTGGGGGGTCCATTATCGTATAGTTATAATACGGAACCCCCAAAAGTAGTCTAGGTAATTATAACTGAGGCCCTAATATTACTTAGAGGATCATGGGACTTAGTAAGTATGGTTATAAGTACCTTATTTTGGGTTATAAGTAGAAAATAAGTATAGTGACCTTAATAATAACTCTAGTTACTAAGTCCCATGGTCCTTGAAGTAGACCCTAAAGCCCCTCTTATAGAACCCCTATAGATCCCTTTAAAGGAGCCCTTTAAGGAACCCTATAAAGTTACTAAGTCCCATGATCCTTTAGGTAGGGCGTTTAGAGGTCTGGGATTGCCAGTTAAGCAAGCAAGGTTGCTGAATACTTGCAACGGTGCTTCCTACGGTCGATGATGTGAACCCTGCATTACCCATGATAAGAATTATACCCCATAATAAGAAATATACCATACTTTTTCATAGTTTAGGGCCCTTAAGGTAATGCAGGATATATATCATCAACAGTAGTGTCCGGAACAACCGAACATGCTGCTGGGGGGTCTGTACTATACCTGGCACCAGCATATAGTTATAGGCCTGCCTGTGACAATGATGTGCAAAACCCTAAACCCTAAACCTGCGAGGCTTTGATGAGACGGCAGCTTCCGTTGTGGGACACGGGGCTGCAGTAGGAGCCTTAATAATTAGAATAGGGCTCCTTTAAAAAGGGTCTATACCGGTTACTACTATAACGGATCTATCATAATCATAAGGGTAATTACTATAATATATTGTACAACCATTGTAACAAAGAGCCCCACAAATAGTATAGGTAGTCATTAAGGCCCCTATATTCCATGCCGAGGCACCGCAAATCCGTGGAAGAAAACATAAAATCGCGTCGAGATAGCAAGGTCCAGATACCAGAAATATCTGGATGCTCAGGCTTCGTAATAGACAACCTGCAGGGATGTCCACAGGTTCTTTTCAAGAATTCCTTCGAGGGTTGAAACCGGCATCTGCGAGTCCATGCACCTACCTATTATATGCGCTGGGCTTGAAGCACATGCAAAGGTATCCCCTTTACATAGCCCAAGGCTTCAAGGGACCTGATTATTGGGTCCTTAAGGGGTCTAGGGCCCTAACTATAACGTCCTTGGAAGCATAGGGTGGGATATAGGCGCAAGGACGCTCTGCTTAGGGAAAATGGCTTGCAAAGTTTAGGATTCAAAGCACAGGATTTCGGGTTCGGAGCTTGGACTTTAAAGGGAACTCCAGAAAGTTGGAATATGGTTTCAGGGTAGGATATCCTATAATTTACCATACAGGGTTTAGGATAATCATATTCCAACTTTCTGGCTTTTACTTTAGGGCAGAGCCCGTTGGGTGTTGAGGGTTTCGCTCCACAGAAAGTACCCTCGCATCTTGAAAGCGCAACCTACCCTTAAGGCTCCACCTAGTAACATAGTAGCATATACTATGGCCTTAAACCAGTCCCGGTTTAGGTATGCTATTTAGCAATGTCGATAGTTCCGGCAGTTTCACGTTCGCTATTGCTAGCACCGCCTGCAATAACAGTTCCATACAGGCTGAGGTTGTTCCTTGTACGATCGATGTGAGCCTCCTTCTGATGATAACATGAGTGTTGGGTTAGAATGCTTATCCTGACAAGTCCTTGGCGACATAAGGTTACTGAGATTGGAAGTGGGAACATTATCAACTACGGCCAGTATTCGTGGTGTTCTTCCAGCCCACGCTTGCAGTACGTTGATCCCACCTGGTGCCCTCGTGCTTAGATGTCACCCTCTTGGTCATTTTGTGCTAGGTCTTGTGGCAAGCAAGCTGTAAAGCATCAGAAACATGTTCGTGAATAAGATCCTCTTAGGAGCAATAGGGGGACATGCGCAATTCCCAAAGGTCTACCGAGATAAGTGCTGGGATCAGGAACCACGGTTTAGACCAAGAGCTGGACTGCCAGAAGCAGGGCGGGTGGCGATCCCCAAACCCAAAGCCTGAACCTTCGCAGCGCCCTAAAGCCCTCAATTGCAGACATTTCGGATGGTTCTCCTGCTTGAAAGCCTTTCGGGCTCAGAGTATGTCGTAGTCCAGGGGCATCATTACCTCAACCTGCCTCTCTATAGATCCCTTGTGGAACCTTGGCAACCCATCTCATAGCTCGACTTCGGGTGCAGGCCTCTCCAGTCTAAGCACGGCATCGCAGTCGTAGCACAAGTATCTGAGTCTTCCGGTCGAGGTTTTAAGGTTTAGGGCTTTAGGGGTTTGGGCTCGGAGTTTAGAATTTAGAAGTTAGGATTTAGGGCATCTAGGGCGTTTAGGGTTTGGGACGATGCAGAGGAATTTTAATTACAGCGTTCCAGATTGTCTCTGGTGAGCGATGAGGTACGCATTGTTGGGTTCATGTTCTGCTGATGCGCTAGATGCCTCAAGCAGAGTTCCCACCAGGTGAAGGCTAGGCGCTCAGTGTAATTTTGTGATGGCAACAACAAGAGCATGCCTTCGCAACAAAGATGGCTTGATGCATTATTAGACAAGTTGCAACGTGAGTATACCTCTGCTAAACCGTCCATTTGGCCAAAACGCTGCCTTTAGTGATGTTTTCATTTTGGGTGTGCGGGGCGTTTACTCGCTCTAGTCTACTGGAAGTACTGTAAGGGTACTCTGAAGGTACTGTGGCTACTACTAGAGTCTAAGGGCACCCTAAGTGTCATCTAAGGTTACTACTATAAACCCTAAACCCCTAAACTCTAAGAACTAAACCCGTAAACCCCAAACCGCTAAACCCTAAACCCCTAAAGCTTAAACCCCTGAACACCTAAACCGAACTCTACACTATAATAGGAAACCGCTGTAAAATGCCTCTGCTTGTGTTCTTCTTGGGTCCCTAAGTTACTAAGATAAAGCATACTCTAAAAAAACATCTCTACCCCTAGCGCCTAATTCCCAACTCTGGACTAGAATAGAAGGGTACCCTGAGGTTACCACTGTACTATACCCTTGAGCCCCTTAGCTCCCAACTCTAGGTTCCTGAACGAAACCCTAAACCCCTATAGATCCCTTATAGAACCCTGTAAAGATCCCTTATAGAACCCTTTAAGGAACCCCCGAAAAAAAAGGGTACTCCACGGTGTGACGAGCCACGGCCGCTCGGGTGACCTGGCAGGCAGCTGAAGAAAGCGCTCGAGCGGCCCGCAGCAAACCTTGCGTGGAATATAGATAGATAGATAGATAGATAGATAGATACGTAGAGGTTTAGAAATTAGTTGAAGTGTAAGTGTATACATGTATAAAATACACATGTGTATAAACGTATATGTATATGTATATGTACATGTAAAGATATGCACACACATGTGAATACATACATATATATATATATATATATATAGAGAGAGAGAGAGAGAGACCAATATATGTATGTATATATATATATATATATAAATGCACATACATACCTATCTACATCTTTGTGTAGATGTTGGGATTAGGGAGGGTGGGCGCTTCAGCTTCGCATAGGATAAAACTTTAAGAGCGTGGACTCGGGCTTCGGGATAATCTTGTGCTAGAGAGAAGCACATCGAAATAACAACCCATAACAAGTTCAACAACCCAACAGCTGCCCATACGCGCTTATGCTTCAAAAGTATGAGCCGCTCTTGCTCAACCAACTTCAGTCACCCAAGGCATGCGTGGGCAACCGCTGGAAAAGGAGAGGCAGCGAGCTTCATCGGATCACCGACATACATGCTTCAGGTACCCTGTGAAATTGATTCCACGAGGTTTGCTTGAAGGAACGACAGAGAGCACGATTCAGGAAGCCGCTACACCCAAAGACTACCTCAAGAAAGGGCAAGAAACTATATAGAACACGGCTTGGGCAGGATCATCCACCGTCCAGCCACCGGTGAATTTCTTTAGCAGCTTGATGGCAAAATCGGTCCGATTCAACAGCTCCTCGGATATGAAAACTGGGGCATATTGATCTCGCGGAGGCTCATTCCTGCGCTGTTCTTGGGGGTCACTCAAATAATCGCAACCGTCCAATCTTGAAATTAGGTATACTCTGTAAATGGAGGAAAAAAGGTACCTACCTATTTTCATAACAACCTTGATACGTCAAAAGAAAAACTTTGCATTCAATCAATATGCGGCCCAAGAGTGAAGCTCTTTCATGTGAAGCTGCCGGTGCTAGTTCGGGACACGGTGACAGTTTGGGGTGTCCTGTATATTGTGAGGTGTATTGAAGCCAGGGACATGGGGAATTAGAAGCCTGAGTACTGATTCTACTAATTACTACCACGACATACCTATATACCTATATACCTACATACCTGCATACCTACATACTACTACTGCTACTACTACTACTACTACTGCTACTGCTACTGCTACTGCTACTACTACCACTACTACTACTACTACTACTACTACTACTACTACTACTACTACTGCTACTACTACTACTACTACTGCTACTGCTACTGCTACTGCTACTACTGCTACTGCTACTACTGCTACCACTACCACCACTACCACAGTCATGACCGTACTTTTCAGTACTGAGCGGCCCGACCGCCTCCCCCCACCCCCGCCCTCAAACAAAAAAAATAACTGTGGCAGTCGATGGGAGGAGGGGCAACCCCTGCGCATTTAGGGAATCTCTGCCTGTTTAGACGGGTCGAGGGTGGGGCATATCAAAGGATGTGCCACACAATCTACCTGCAAAGCCTAAAGCCCCAAACCCAAAACCCTAAACCCTACACCCTAAGCCCTAAAGCCTCAAACCCTACACCCTACACCCTAAACCCCAAGCCCCAAACCCGCCAACCCCCCCCCCCAAAAGCGGCCCAGATTCTGTGGAACGAGGAAGGGGCTCTTGGCCACGGCCCCGGAAGCGACGTAAAGAGTCCCGTTTGCAGAAGGATCGGTCGTCAAGTCAGTTCCGGCTTCTTCCTCGCTTCGGGCTGTTTAGCTCTTAGGGGTTATACGGGGTTTAGGGGTTTAGGGGTTGGGTGAGGGGGTTTAGGGGTTTAGGGTTTAGGGGTTAAGGGGTTTAGGGGTTTAGGGTTTTAGAGTTTAGGGTATGTGCATACATATTCTTACTTGGAGGGGCAGGGGACATAGTAAGTAGGGTTATGAATGGGGTAAGTCCATCTAGGGTACTTATAACTCTACTTATAACTTATAACCCTACTTACTAATACCCCTGTCCCTCCAAGTATGCATACATATTCTTGACAAACATGAATGCCATTCCTATTGAAGTCATTGAGAGTTACTGGTACTAGCAATCACCACAACTTTGTCGAGCCTAATAGTCAGTTCCTAGTTGGTGTAAGTATTGGTTTCAAAACCGTGTTTTGCTGCTCGTATCTGGGGGGCGATACTGTGGGACTCAGAAGTTTGACATACACATGCAGGGTTTTTGGGTTGAGGCTCTGGTTACGGTTCAGTGTTTCGGGGCTCCAGAGTTCTGGGAAATTTGGTCTTTCAGCTGAGGTTGACCAAAACGGGGATTGAAGCTGCCTCTCTTCTTGCATCTAAGATCCGTCTGGATGTGGGTGGCGTTCCTTTCGGCTTGTGCCGCAGTGAGGTGAGGACTCCGAGAGTCGTAAGTGGTGGTCTCTTGTGAACCCGCCTGAAAGACCGCAGTGTCTCTCGCCTGAAAATCCCGACTTCCTCTGGAGATGACCTTGTCCGGGGAACTCGTCCCAGTAAGTGGGATGAGCCCTGCGGAGGGCACCGCGGAAGACTCGCAGGCTCTTTGCCAAAGGATGCTGCCGGAGAAAAATCCGAATGTGTATACCACTGCATAGCGGCCACACCTCCTCAAGGACTTCTGCATCGTGGCCCCCATCGCTCCCAGAACATGTCTAGCTAATTGGCCCCCTGACCGTATAAACTAATGGCGAACAAGTCCCGGCTCTAGCTTGCAGGCCAGAGGTTCTTATGATGAGCATAGGACATAGGACTGGGTCTAAGACGCCCCCTGCCAAATTGAAATAGCTCAATTCCAAGCGGAACCCCCCACGGCCTTGAATAATGGCCTTGACAACATACACCACCACTGCTATCGCACCCTCAACAGTTGAACTGACTCGGCTTGTGTTCTCGGGCATAGTCGCTGCACATGAAGTTGAAAGTTTCCTTACGACAACATCCGTGATCTCCAGCAAAGCCGATGCGTGTTGAGCAACTGGTTGAACTGGTTGTAAAAAAAGGTGCCCCAATTCCTCCCCCCCTTCCCCGACATCCCACAAATGTTGAGCCAGATGGCCTGCATCCATAGAACGCAGAGACTGGAGCGAGATTTACGGGAGTTTCCGAAAATAGGGGACCCTAATATAGTACCCTAATAGTAGGATCCTTAATAAAAGGACCCACAGTAAGGTACCCCTAATTTTGGGAAACTCCCTTATGGCATAGGGCTCAATGGTTCTGGGCATCAAAATAGCCCGAAAGCCTTAAGTAGTATGGTCTTTGGGCCCAATAGCCTTACTATACGAGTCCTTAGATCCCAAGGGGTACAGGTGCCAGATTTCAAACAAACACTGATACTACCAGGAAATAGAAACTTTCGGACAGATAGTATTTGGAGGAATCTTATTTTCTCAGGTAGCTGGACACTCAGCGCAGCGTTATCCCTGTAGAAGGCCAAGTAGTACGATCTGTGAATCATGGCGACTGCGCCTGTAACGTCTCTAAACCGTTACAGTACAGAGGACCTCGGCCTCACCGAGATATTGGAGTTTCCGGAAATTAGGGGTACCTTATTTGGGGGTCCTTATAATCAGGATCCGGCTATTTAGGGTACTATATTGGGTTCCCCTATTTTCGGAAAGCCCCATATGGCTAAGAAGCCCTGAACTGCCAAACGACACGCTGACAAACCCCACCTTAAACCCCTCCGGACACCCCAAGCTGTAAACCCTACCTAAACCCTAAACCTCAAAGGCTGGCCCCTCTAAGAAGCCTAAACCGCTTTCGGTCTGCTCTTGTCCGGAGGTCCAGGTCGAGTGCCTGTCTGCATTCGCCCAGCAAGAGCCCAGAGAGCCCAATGACTGGCCCAATGACCCTTAATTAAGGAATATAGCCTAAATCATAAAATGAATCCCTATATAATTTAAGCCCTTTTCCTTAATTAAGGGCTTAAATTATAATATGAACCTCTATATAATTTAGGCCATATTCCTTAATTAAGGGGTATTGGGCTCTGTGGGAGCCTCCATTCGGCCTCCGCGAACGCCGGCCCACGGGCCGCAGGAGTAGCTGTAGGCCCCATAGTAGTAGTTCCTTTGGGGTTCATATGGGAGTTTCCGAAAATGGGGGACCCTATTGATACAGTACCCTAAATAGTAGGATCCTTATTACAAGGATCCCAAAATAAGATACCCCTAATTTTCGGAAACCGCCATATTTAGAACCCTATAAGGAAAAAGGGAATTGCTATGGGGCCTACGTGTAGCCGTCTATTTTTGAAAGACTTCGTCGGTGCCGGCAATGGCTGCGTGTCGCGGAAGCCTACTTTGTGGAACAGGAGCCTCTGCAGCGTTGTAGGACGTCTCGGTCTGTACAGGTGTTGCCTGACGCAGAACTGGCACCAATTGCGGACGGTGGAGCAGAGCTCTCGCAGGCCATGACTATTGACTTGAATTGGAACGCGGCCTCGGCAGAGGGTCGACAGCAGGCTCCACTCAGGAGGCCAGATCAACTCACGGTGCCCAAGGCTTTGACAGCGGTTTAAGAGCTTTGGCTTTGGGGTTTTGCTGTGGTTTGGAGTAGGCTTCATCTAAACTATAGGGTGCCTTCTTGTGCTTCATACTCTGTGAGCGCAACAAGTAGAGTTCCCGATCGACTGGTGAAGTATATGCGTACGCTTGCACTCGGAACACGACGTAGTCACCAGCAGCGCGATCTCAACGCAACAATGCCTACAGAACGCTGCCCTTAACCTGAAACCCAAAGCCCCTAACCACGAAACATTGAACCCCTTCATCCCTTGACTGTATATCACGGATGGCATTCTACCTGTCTCATAACAGAACTTCAGGGACTTTGGGTTTAGAGCTTGACGGATGGCCCACTCCTCTCTGCTAAAGATCCGATATGTTCTTAGAGTATAGCGTGAATCTGTAAGGGATGATACTACATACTAAGAACTCAGAACTCATTCTGCAGAAGGTGCCTAACCCTTGAGGTGCACGTCATGTCAGCAACGATGTCCCACGACTCGGCAACAAAGATCTTTAAATCAGTTAACCCGTTAAATCTGTAGGTGGCACGCACAGGAAAGGTACCTCAATCCTTCTCAAACCTCTATACCCGGAGCCCTAAACATCAGCTAGCGGCCTCGGGAGACACCGATCGAGAAACAAGGTGAGTCACCTTGGCAGTGTCTGTCCCTAAGGGTCCAAGTACCCAAATAGTAGGGTTTCAAGGTCCCAAAGCCATTCAGAGTATGGATTTTAGGACCTAAAACCCTACTATTTGGGCACTTACAGTGTTGCTTCGCCCGGAAGGTTACAAGGCTTCAGGACCAGGTGGTGAGGTTGACACATGGGCCTTCAACATGAGAAGATGGTGCCTTTCGAAGGTGTCTATGGGGTTCTGTGAGGGATGAATAGGGTTTTCAAGGCCTTGACACACTTAACAATTACAAGAGGGTTTAGAGGCATCGGCTCTTATGACAAGATGCTTTGAGGTTCCGTGACCCAGACCTTCAGAAATCCCTTAATTAAGGAATATACCTTGAATCATATCAAGGATCCTGCTATAATTTAGGGGATATTCCTTAATTAAGGGATTTTGGAAGGTCTGGGGACTTCAGGAGCTGATCTGTAGGGTGGAGGCTTTGCGTGTCTTTTGAGCCTCGCAGTAGAGTACTGCCTGAAGGACGAAATGACCCTTAAAAATAGGGGCCCTATACCCATATACTATGAATTCCTATATGGTATATGAACCTTAAACCCTTTTAGGGTTCATTTCGTCCTTAAGGTGGTTCGCAGAGAACCACGTTTCCACCAGGCCCGAACCCCAAGGCTCCATGTACCGTTATGGTAGATCCTTAAAAGCCTTATAAAAGGGGTCCCCATAGAGGTACTGTAAGGCCTAAGTATATACTGTATGGGTACATGGAGCCTTAGGGGACAGAAGCAAGCATTGCTGGAATGATCGGAGCCCATGGAGCCTCGAACCGAAGGGGTCGACATGTGAGTGGTTGTCAAAATTAGGGTCCCTTTTTGGGTACCCTAAATATTAGGTGCCGAATTCTAATAAGGACCCAAGAGGGACCCTGATTTTGACAACCACCCATGTGCACAATCCGAGGCCGACGTCGCTTGTGCCTGCGGGCGAGACTACCTCGTCTAAAACAACTCGTTAATGCTACACGTCAGTAAAAGATGCATCTTAGGCCGGTCTTTGATACAAAGCTCTCGTGGCAATGCGATAGTTCTTGGCTCTCATGTGACGGAACAAAGGGAGGCTGGCGCGACATTCACGAAGAAGCCTGTGGGGTATTTAAGCGAGCTTAGTGTTCAAAGCCCCCAGTAGTTAGTAAGGGGCGTTGTGCGTTTAGTAATCGATAGAAACTGTCGAGGGTCGCAAGCAAAGGCCAAACTACGTTCAACATGTAAGAGGTTTGCGTCACATGATTTCTTAGTCGGATTTTGGGAAACCATGCTACACTCACACCGTTGGAAGGGGCAGAGGGTCGCACAGGTTCGTATCCCGACCCCCAAACCATGTGCTTGCAATGCACACATCTAAGCATGGGACCTGGCACCACCACCACGGTCATCATCGTGCATGTCAGCACCAGTACCATCATGATCATCAACGTGATCACTAGCAACATGATAATCAAGTTCACAATGCTACCGTCAGCACCCTCCCCCTCATCCTCATCACCATATGCAACGGAATCGCACCTACTAATTTCTCCTCCAGCGACAGACATCTGCAACAAAAAGAAGCAGTCGTCGAATTCGAAAGGCCAACTTGTCAGTTGCTTTTCGCGCCTATGGCTCAGCTTTCCCTGCATGGTCCGAGAGTAGGCGCACCATGGACGCATCAAGCAGGCAACTTGCCCAGTCTAGCGCAGCCTTGCCATGCAAGTCTCCTGTGTTCTTGTTCAGGAACTGTTGAAAATTCAGTTACCAGAATAAGGAACCCATATTATTTCGTATAGAACCCCTGTGGTGGCAACGCAAATAAATCCCTTAATAAGAGCCCAGTCACTCAAGTCCATGTCTGCTCGGGTCTCCAACAACAAGCCCGCAACTTCCTCGTGGCCGCGCCCGGCCGCATAATGCAGCGCCGTCATGCCACGGTGATCGGCCATGTCTAGCGAAGCTGCGGCGGCCAGGAGGCAACGCACCAAGCCGACATTACCCGCCTCCGACCCAATGTGGAGAATTGTTCTGCCACGACTGTCGGGCAAGTCCTGGTCCACTCCTATGCGCAGCAGCAATTGCACTGCATCCGCGCGTCCCATTTTGGCTGCCCAGTGTAAGACAGTCCCACTGCCATCGTCGCTGAGATTGCTTCGAACCCAGGCCTCATCAGCCCCAGTAGCTAGCAGGAGGCAGACGACCTCCACGTAATCCTTTGAATATGCCAAATCCAGTGCTTTCCTGCCATGCCCATCCGCCAAGTCTACAGTTGCTCCGGCTTCCAACAGATCGCGCACAGCATCCACGTTGTTTGCGAAACATGCCAAATGCAGAGCTGTCTTGCGATCCTCAATCGTCCATGATATATGAGGTTATAGTACCGCGAAACGTGCAAACGTTTGCCGTAGAGGTTACTCATTTTTGGGGATTGTGGCAACTCCAAAAAATCGAAAGTCCTTCCTTAATAGAGCCCTAAGGCTCCAGTTACCCTAATAACGGGTTACTGGGCTACCTATTCTATGGTTAGTAACCTACTATTTAGGGTCTATTAGGTTTAAGTCAGCAACCTACTATCTAGGTAACCGGAGCGCCAAGGGAGGGTATGTATTCCCCTAAGGGTCCATGTACCCAATTGGTATGTTCTTTGGCCTTAAAGTAGTTACTCTATACAATAGGGAGTACGTTAAGGCCAAAGTATATGCTATTTGGGTACAAGGACCATTCCTGGACCCTACAAAACCTTCCTTTGCAGGGTTATAAGTGTATTCTACCACGGGTCCCTGTCGCGCTGGTCCACGTTAGCAGCGGCCTGCAGAAGCATGCGCACAATACCTGAGCACTGCAACTGGGTTTAAGGTTGAGGGCCTTGAGGGTGTAGGGTTGATAAAGGGGTCTAGGATTTACGGTTCAGAGGTTTATAGGGTTTAACGGGTTTGGGGTTTATACGGTGTTTAGGCTTTAGGGTGTGGGGTTTAGGGTAAACGTTGAGGCGAACGGCCTGTACACAATGATGTCAGAAAGAGAAGACATGAGAAGTCCTTCTAAAACCTGAACCTTGCAAAGCCAAAGCACCTGTCCACCTGTCCACAATCGTGAGCAACCTAAGGTCAACCTTTGGGAGTATAGTTGAGTTACAGAGGTTACAGTACCCAAAAAGGTTAGAGATAACCTACTCTGCTACTTGGCTGCTATAAGTCCGAACCAACCACTTCAATGCTTCGAAGGCTGGAGCAAGCCACGGAAGGCAGAGGGGCCGACAGAGTTACAGCAAGCTTCGGCAAACTGCCATACATCTAACGTAGGGGCCATAATAATTGGAATAGGATTTTGGGAGTTCCTTGAATTGAACCTTTATTATGAACCTATAGTATACATATGCGTGGTGTGAGATAAAGCTAAAGTTCAACACCGTAAGCTCGATATTACCACACATCCCATGATGCAGCATCCGAAGCCCTAATCTTCTCAAAGAACCATGAACTCTAATCCCTAAACCACTGTAAAGCCTACATGATCCCTATATAAACCATCCCATGATGTAGCCTCCTAACCTAGACTCCCCTAAACCCATGAACTCTAAGCCCTAACAGTCCTGACAGAATATAGCCCAACTGAATGCAGCCTCGTGGCCAGTGTCTCTTTGGCCCACGGCCGCATGGAGTGGCGTCGTACCCCGATTGTCTGCCAAGTCTTTGTTGGCCCCGGCCTCGCCACTTGCAACGGTTTAGGGACACACTCAGGGATAGCGGGTTAAAGGGATACAGGGTTGTTCCAGGGCTTGGTTTTTTTTAGGGCCATAGTCCGCCATTAGGGGTGACGATGCGACCATTGGCGACCAGGCCTGCCAACACAACATCCAAAGCTTGGGACGTTCTCGCGAACATTGCTACCCCGGCATTACCCAGAGAGCCCAATATATACCCCTTAATTAAGGAATATAGCTTCAATCATAATATGAAGCCCTATATAACTTATTAAGCCATATTCTTTAATTAAGGGGTATTGGGCTCTCTGGGTATGTGGCACAGGAGAGGGTTCAGCACAAGAAAACTAAAGGAACTCAAGCGACTCCCGGGCTGGTTTTCCCAAAGGATCCCATGTGCTGTTATGGTTTAGGGTTTAGGGTTTAGGGCTTAGGGTTTAGGGTTTAGGGATACTTCCCTGGATCATAATAGTAATTCCAAATCTAGAAACCCTACAGATTCTACTATATAGGTACATAGGACGCTTTGGGTTTGGGACGGATTTAGGTAGTTGTCAAAATTCGGGTCCCTTTTTGGGTACCCTAAATAATAGGTGCCGTATTATAAACGGGACCCAAAAAGGGACCATAAATTTGACAACCACCCATTTGTTTACGTGTGTCCGCACTGGTGGTGGAGGTCCCGGCCTGAAGCAGCAAGCTCACCGCCGGCGGATGGTTCTTGTAGATGGCCCAGTGCAGGGCGCGCTTGCCATCCGAATCCCCGATGTCCTCACAAAACAGTTAGAATGGGTTTGTACAGATTTTAAGGTAGATTATTGTAGCGTTATGATAACCAACCCTAAGAAATTGGTCATATATGGGGGAGGGGCCTGAACAATAAGAGTATCTTTGGGTACACTTCACAATTAATATACAAGGAGCGATCGAAAACAGTACTGGTACTTGTTCATGCCCTTGCATTAGGCAACTATCCCCTTTATAGAACCTGTATAAATTCCTTTAAGGAGCCCTACTATAGATCCTTTTAAAGGAACCCTTTAGGCCACCATATTAAGTTAGCCAGGCTTCCATGCCACAGCCAGCTTCTAGGAGAGCAGTGGCAAGTCGACAGTTGCCTGCAGGGCTTAGGGTTTTTGGTTTCAGGGTTTAGGGGTTTAGGGTTTTTTAGGGTTTAGGTTTTAGGGCTTAGGGCTTAAGGGCTTAGGGGTTTAGGGATTTTTAGGGTTTAGGGGGTTAGGGTTTACGGTAACGGCTGCATCCCATTGGCACTTGGGGGAGGCACGGCCTACAACCTTAGGGAGCATTGAGCATTCACGCATACATGTGTATACACATATATATATATATACACACACACACACATAGAGAGAGAGAGAGAGAGAGATGCAGGTGTGGATACAGATGCAGATATGGATACAGATGTTTGAAGATATAGAGACACAAATATAAAATCTACATCTCTATACATATATACACACACTATACATATACGTGTATGTGTGCATGTTGATGCCTTCGTTCTATAGCATCAACCATGGTTCACCGAGGCAGAAAGAGAGGGCATATTGATCGTGCCAAGAGGACTACTTACCCCGATGGGACTACAGTTCCATCATTCTCGAACAGGATGCTGCGGTTCGAGGATCCCAAGAGCAGTTGAGACGGATACCACGCCCGTCCAAGTAAGTAAGTCTTCGTTCAATCTAATTACAAGTTCTCGCAATAACGCAAGCTGGGTTAGGGTGGGCATCAATCCTGCCGTCGCGTCTTTCGAGGCTCGCCTAATTACTACTGCCGGCTGTTGGCTAAAGAACCTTCCGTGTCACCTTCTAACTCTTTGTGGTCCTAGCACATTCTTTGCGAAGAACCAACGCAAGTTGTCACAATGCTGGCCTTGAGCACAAGTTTGATGGAGGGCTGTCATGCCATTCTGATCCACCACGTCCATGTTGGCCTGCATCTCCAGCAGCAAGCGCACGATGTCCTCATGGCCCAGTTTAGCGGCCAAAAGCAAGCCTGCCTCCTTGTCTATGCCCTTGCAGTTGGCATCCTCATCCGCGCCATCGCATGTCTCAGCCATCAGCATCAGGCGCGCGATGTTGACACGGCCTCTCTCCAGTGCCACGTGGAAGGCCTGCTTGCCGCTCCTCTATAGGTATCCATCGTAGAATGTCGGGTTTCTTGATTAGAAATTCTGATTATGATTTGGGGAAGTATCCCCCATAGCAGTACCCAGCACCCGTGGGGCCTGTCCACCAGGCTCATGTCCGCCGCCGCGTCCAGCAGCAAGTGGGCCAGCTTCAGGTCATTCTCCGTGGCTGCCAAGTGGAGCAAGGTTCGGCCACTGCCTGGGCTCATTAGTTTAAGTTACCATCCTATGACATTCTTTGGTAACTATAAGTATAATGCTGCTTCATAATATGTCATATAAACTTAGTGACTATAAGTCCCTTGACAATAGCCCAGGTGCTGTCGGGAAGATTCGCATCCGCCCGGGCTTCCAGTAGCAGCTGCACCACGCCCTCCTGACCCGCTCGTGCGGCCTCATGAGATCAGACACACCCAAACCTTTTATTGTTTGCGGGCATACCGTATTATGGTGGCAAATTTAAGATGATACAAAGCATTCATTGTGCTTGCTGAAGGAAGGAGTATGCAAACAGTTAGTGTATGAACCATGCTATTATGGTTCAAAACAATGTCCTTAATTCCTCAAGGTCCCAAGTACCTATATGCTGTATACCTAACCAAACCATATGGTTGTTGATCTAAATTGCTTCGTTCCGGAATGACCTTCTTCACGGATAAAAAGGTAACTTTCGCGCCACCGTCGCGCAACTTTCGCGGAGGCATACTTACATACCTTTGCAAGCTAGACACCTGATTCCTGTGAGGGTTCTGTTCGGCGTTCCTTGGAGTGTTCCTTTTAAGGCTTGCTGCGAGGTTGCGCTTAAATGGTTTTTTGCAAGGTTCTTTTGAAGGTTCTTAGTCCTCATCAAAAATCCACCCCCTAAGACGGCCATTCGCGAAAGGCACCAACAATGTCCATTGGGGGGTGGCCTTGATCTGGCGACTTCGACTTTAACGCAACTTACGCGGAACTTGCGCGGAACTTACGCGCTAAATCCTCCACACGAACCTATTTTTTGGGTTTGTCGCTGCTTACACTTAGCATCGACAGTGCTGCAAGGAACTGCACACAGCGTGAACCGGAAACTCGTCTTCGCTACTGTGTTACACAGAAACGTACACAAGCAGTTCTGAACCCACCGCGGAGTCTTCGAGAGTGCAGGTTCAAGCGTGTTTGGAGTCGAGGGTCCAAGGTGCATAACAGCCATAGTGCTAGTAGTAGCAATAGTGACAGTAATAGTATTAGCAACAGTAACAGTAACAACAGCAGCAATAGTCATCGTAATCGACATCGTCATCGCGATTGTCGTAGTCGTTGTAGTTGTCGTAGTAGTAGTAGTAGTAGTAGTCGTAGTCGTAGTCGTAGTCGTAGTCGTAGTCGTAGTAGTAGTAGTCGTAGTCGTAGTAGTAGTAGTAGTAGTAGTAGTAGTAGTAGTAGTAGTAGTAGTAGTAGTAGTAGTCGTAGCACTAGTAGTAGTAGTAGTAGTAGTAGCAGTAGCAGGAGTAGTAGTAGTAGTAGTAGTAGTAGTAGTAGTAGTAGTGGTGGTAGTGGTAGTGGTAGTGGTAGTGGTAGTGGTAGTGGTAGTGGTAGTGGTAGTGGTAGTGGTAGTGGTAGTGGTAGTAGTAGTAGTAGTAGCAGCAGTAGCAGTAGTAATAGTAATAGCAATAGTAAGAATAACAGTAGGTCAACACATAACTTTCGCAAAAATTAAAGTAACTTTCGCCGCACCATCGCGGAACTTTCGCGAAGGCATATTTAGCTATGCAGTTGGCCGCTCATATAAATTATACCACAAGGAGCTTTAGATCGACTACCATATAATGGAATTCCTACTAAAGAAACCCTACTTTCTACTATGTAAGCACATAGGACCCTTTAAGCCCTAGACCCCCAGACCCCAAACAACTCAACCCTAAACTGAAAAACTGGGTTTGGGGGCCTCGTGGAGGGCCAGGTCAGGATCTTGAAGATCCTGCAGCATCCCCTCCACCTCACCCAGCCTTGCTTGTCCAGTGGCCTAGGGGAGTTAAGGGTTAACCTTTGGGACCATCTACAAATATGTAGGTATGATATTTCCCCAACAAACTACTTAGTTACCTACTAACTACAGGTATGGGCAGAACATTATAGCACCCCAACAAGGAAGAACAGTTACCTAGTTAACTACCACAAGTATTGAGTGTTGGGGTTATCATACACCGACAAAGGTTACTTACTTAACTACCGGGCAGCTTTCCCGCTGCCGCCGCCGTCTTAAAGAGGCTCAGCTCCTTCCAGAGACTGCAGCATATTTTGATTGAGGCATATACCCTAATTCTTGATTGGATTCTTAATAGGATTTAACGACTATGTCTTCATCAAGCTTGGAGGAACATGGGACTAAGTAAGTATGGTTGTAAGTACCTTAATGGGGATATAAGTAGTTATACGTACAGTTACCCTACTAATAACCCTAGTTACTAAGTCCCATGATCCTTTAAGTAGACTCCAAACCCCTCTTGTAGAACCCTGATAGATCAATTTAAAGGAGCCCTTTAAGGAACCCTAGTTCTTGATTAAGGGGCTTTGGAGGCTCAGCTCCTCCTTGGAGGCGCTGCGGATAGGCAGCACGAGAAGCTGCACGTCCAAGTCCGACTCAAGGGGGGCCTTGGCTCAGGGGCTTGATCTTAAGGTTCAGGGCTTAGGGTTCAGAGTTGGCTATGATTTGAGGGATTTGGGGGTTTTGGGAGTTTCGGGTTTAGGGGTGTAGGGTTCGAGGTTAGAGTTTAGGGAGGGTTCAGGATTCAGGCAGGCAGCATCCATGCGGCCTCTGCCCTGCCTTGGGGCTCTCTGCAACGACAATATGGGAGTTTCCGAAAATAGGGGACCCTAATATAGTACCCGAAATAGTAGGATCCTTATTATAAGGACCCCCTAATAAGGTACCCCTAATTTTCGGAAACTCCCATATCACCACAAGCCCCATTCCATGATGATTCAAAACCACAGAAGTGTTATGGGAAACCCTGTGAAGGACCCTGGAAAGGAACCCCATACGACAAATAAGTCTATAACTGTATATATAAATATATATATATATATATATGTGTGTATGTAAAAAACAATATATATATATATATATATATATGTATATATATATATATATGTATATATATATATATATATATATGTGCATACTGATTTCTCGCAGTCGCAGGGTCTTCCATGGCTGCGCCATCCATGAGAACGCGCAGCCGAAAGCGCGGCGTGCCCCAGAGCTCGGCCAGGCGCTGCTTCAGCTGCTTGACCTCAAGACCCTTTAAGGGGTCCTACTTAAAGGATCATGGGAATTAGTTACAAGGGTTATAAGTCCCTTAATTGGGGGGTTATAAGTAATTATAAGTATAGTTACCCTAATAATAACCCTAGTTACTAAGTCCCAGGATCCTTCAAGTACCCGAAGGCTCCCAGAGGCCAACGGGGCCCCAAGGGTTTAGGGTATAGAGGTTTAGGGTTTAGGGTTGACTCTACCCTAAGGCCCTAAAGGGGTCATGGGTCATGGGCTTCCTGGGGGAGGGTATGGGCTTTCGGGGCTGAGGTTTGGGATCTCACTGTTTGGGTCCCGCAGCCTTAGGGTAGGTACTGTTATGCTTCAGCTGCAAGACCTGGGGGTGTATAGAATGGCTTGAAGGGTTTAGGGATTTAGGGTTTCTAGGGCATATATAACATGGAAAACCTGCGGGGGGTGTAGGGGGCGGGACCTCCAAGTACCCTTTACTATTCAGAGGAACTAGGAGCTACTAGTTGGAGGGGTCTAGAGATAAAATCGTTTGAAGGGTTGCCTAAATGGCTTTGCAGGAGTTCAGGGTTTCGAGTTTGAGGGTTTAGATAAGCAAGGCTTTAGGGTTTAGGGTCTGAGGTCTTAGGGTATGCCTCTTCAAACGGAAAAGTTCAAACAAAGAGCCTGTTTACCTGGTGTATCAGGATTGGTTATAGTAGATTACTGGGTGCCTCTGGGCGAGGAATGCAGGCGATGCTGGTGCAATGGACACGTCATACAGGTTGTCATCATACGGCATACGGTATAAGGTATACATTATTTTTAAATAACAGAGACCTCTCAAGACAGACGGACAGACAGACAGACAGACAGACAGACAGATGCACGACCGACCGCCTGCAGATGAGCAGACAGATAGAAAACACTCGCGAGAACGAACGCACACACACACACACACACACAACCCTCACATGTATTCTCAGCCCCAGCATCTCAACCGTCTATGTGTAGACATGTACTTGCATACCCAAACTCGAGAAGCCTATAACCAAACCCTTACGTACCGCTAAACCCAGAGTCCAGGGTGCAGTCTCCACCTCCTCCACCGGTAGGGCGGCCAACTCCTGGCCCGAAGCCGCCCCCCAAACGCGCAGCATCGCTGGTGCGGCCGGCCAGGGAGATCAACAAGCGGGCATTGCTAGTTCGCACTACCCCGAGACTCCAAAACCTCTTGATTAAGGAATTTTGAATATTCCTTCAAATGTAGTAGGGACCCTAATGCAACTCAAGGTATATTCCTTAATCAAGAGGTTTTGGAGTCTCTGGGTATACTCAACCATAAACCAACAAAGGACGGTTTGGAATTTGGGCGAGTGCGGTCGCATGCAGGTGTAGTGAGCCTTCGCGGTTGAGCATAGGGTATAGGGTTTGGGGTTAAGGGTTTAGGATTTAGGGAATCATTATACCCTGCTTGGAACCATATTCTCTTCGGTTTTATCTGCACAAGACTAAAACATAATTCCTAAGGAAACTATAGATAAACTGGCCTCTAAGTTTAAAAAAATCCGTTCGGGATTGGGGCTGGACTACTTAAAGGATCATGGGACTAGTAGCTAGGGATACTATTGGCGTAACTATACTTATAATTACTTACAGGTACTTATAACCATACTTACTAAGTCCCATGATCCTCCAA